GCTTTGGATGTAGAAGTTTTGACTTTGTTGTATTCTTCTGGTTGTATGTTTTGATCTTCTTTGTCAGCAAAGTAAGATAATATAGTCTGACTCTTTTTGCACTGCTTACTCATGATCCTGGCCAATTACTTGAGTTTTAAACTCTTTGTTAAGGTAAGAGTCTGCTTCCAATGTGGAGAATGTACTGTCCCAAGCTTTGGGGGTTTGTACAGCTGTTTTCAGAGCTACTTCTAGGGACCTGTAAGTTTTCAGTTCTTCCAAGGTGGAATGATAAGGGGCGAGGTGTTTTCTCTCCACCACCACAACAAGCTCCACCACACTAGAGCTCCTCCTCGCCCCAGGACCACCCCTCAGAACTGTGACCCATATCCAAATGCAGACAAAACAAGAGATTCCTGCCTCAGCACTGACAAAGAGATCCATGCAATCCCCTCTGATCAGCCACTGGATTCCCCCTCAGTCTGTGGACCAGAAGCTCAGGAGGCAGCCGTTGCACCAGAGGCCATGCTCAGGACTTGCGGCTGAGACCTAGCTCCTCTCTCACCACAGTCATAGACTTTTCCCACTAACTTTCTAAGTTGTCTTTGGCATTGGTGGGTTAAGAAGTCCGGAAACCGCCACAGCTGCCCGTGATTCAGTCCTCTGAGGCCTGCTCCAGGTTGACTGCGGCCTGCATGGCCACGCTGAACTGCGCTGTTCTCCCTGCCAGGCGCGATATACCTTTCTGATCAACCATTCAGGCTGTCTTTGGCTGGAAATTTGTTTCATTCTGTCTTTTTGTGGGTTCTGCTGCTTTAGAATTTGTTTAGAGCTATTTTTTACAGGTATTTGGAGGGGTTTGGGGGAGAGCTCAAGAAAGTCACTGCTTTCACTCCACCATCTTGGCTCTAATTACCAATTTCTAAGCCCCTCTCACCTCCCTCAGTAGATGACTTGGCTCGCTACTTCATTGAAAGTTGTAGGCAACCATGGTGAACTCTCTTATTTCCTGTCCTGAACACTTCTAATCTTCTCCTTTGTTCCAGTCTAAGTATACAAGGTAGGGCTCATCCTTTACAGGGTGGATCCCTTTACTTGTGTACTTTAACTTGTTTTCTCTTTTCTTCTTTAGGACCTTGCTCTGTCAACTCTTAAATATTTAATTTCTCTCTCTAAGCTGGCTCTTGCTGTCTACAAACATGTGCTGATCTTCCCTATTAAAAAAAAAAAGAAGCAAAATACCACACTCTCTCCCCAACCAGGCCCCTGCCAAATCCTTTCTTTGACTCTACTATAAAAGCATAATACTATTTTTCTCTTCCTTTTTAGTAATAAACTTCACAACATATCTTGCATGTATGTCTTTTCTACTCACAAAGCTACAATCATTGTACAATGCCTTGTTATGTTTCCACTGGATTATTGTGATAACCTTCTAATTGGTCTCCCAACCTGGAGCCTCTCCCCACCCAAACCCATCCTCCACTCAACTGCCAAAGTGATTTTCCTAAAGCACAGGACTGATCATCTCATTCCTCCAGACCCTAAACGATAAACTCTAGTGGCTTCCTATTACCCCCAGGATTATTATAAAATGCTCTGTCTGGCATTTAAAGTGCTTTAGGACCTAACCCTTTTTAAATTAAATTAAATTTGTTTTATTTATTTTAATGTTTTTTATTAATTTATTTTGATTTATCAACAATCACTTCCATATGTTTTTGAGTTTAAAATTTTTCTCCCCTTTCCTTCCCACCTCCCTCTCCAAGACGGCACACAATCTGATATAGGCTATACATATACATTCCTATTAAACATATTTTCACATTAATGATGTTGTAAGTAAAAATTAGAACCAATAAGAGGAACCACCAGAAAGAGGAAACAAAACTCAATAGAAGAGAAAAAAATAGCAATTCAACTTCCATAGTTCTTTCTTTGGATGTGGATAGCATTTTCCATCACGAGGCCTTTGGAGATGTCTTAGATCCCTGTATTGCTGGGAAGGGTTAAATTTATCAATAATAGTCATCGCACAATGTGACTGTTATTGTGTATATTGTTCTCCTGGTTCTGCTCACTTCACTCAGCATCAGACCATACAAGTGTTTCCAGGTTTTTCTGAAGTCAGCCTGTTCATCATTTCTTATAGCACAATAGTATTCTGTTACATTCCTATACCGCAACTTGTTCAGCCATTACTCAAATGATAGGCATACCCTTCATTTCCAATTCTTTGCCACCACAAAAAGAGCTGCTATGAATATTTTTGTACATGTGGGTCCTTTTCCCATTTGTATGATCTCTTTGGGATATAGCCCTACAAGTGCTATTGCTGGGTCAAAGGGTATGCACATTTTTTTATAGCCCTTTGGGCATAGTTTCAAATTGCTCTCCAAAATGGTTGGATCATTTCACAACTCCACCAACAATGCATTAGTGTTCCAATTTTCCCACATCTTCTCCAACATTTATCATTTTCCTGTTTTGTCATGTTGGCCAGTCTGATAGGTATGATGTGGTACCTCAGAGTTGCCAATCAATCAATAATGATTTAGAGCATTTTTTCATATGACTATAGATGGCTTTAATTTCTTCATCTGAGAACTGCCTGTTCATATCCTTTGACCATTTATCAACTGCGGAATGACTTGTTTTCTTATAAATTTGACTTAATTCTCTATATATTTTAGAAATGAGGCCCTCATCAGAGAGACTGGTTGTAAAAATTCTTTCCCAATTTTCTACTTTCTTTCTAATCTTAGTTGCGTTGGCTTTGTTTGTGCAAAAACTTTTCAATTTAATTAATCAAAGTTTTCCATTTTGCTTTTCATAATGTTCTCTATCTCCTGTTTGGTCATGAATTTTTCTGTTCTCCATAGATCTGATGGGTAAACTATTCCGTGCTCTCCCAGTTTGCTTATAGTATCAGCCTTTATATCTAAATCATGAACCCATTTTGACTTTTATCTTGGTGTATGGTGTGAGATTTTGGTCTATGCCTAGTTACTGCCATACTCTTTTCCAGTTTTCCCAGCAGTTTTTTTCAAAGAGTGGCTAACCCTTTTTTTAAAAAAAATAATTTATTTTATTCTGACTTCTATAATGTAGTAAAATAGAAAAAGATGATTGTACATGAAACTGCAAATCTATTATATACAATTTGCTGTTCCTTTTAAATATGTAACAAAAATTTATAATAAAAATAGTTATCATGTAACCTTCTTTTTTTCCCTTTTTTTCTCCCCTCCCATCCCTGCCCTAGAGATGGCTACCATTAGACACAGATATGTATATATATATGTGAAACCATTCTATACATCTATTTATTGGTTCTTTCTCTGGATGCAGATAGTATTTTCCTCCATAAGTCCTTTGCAGTTAATTTGAGTATTTATAGTAGTCAAAATGACTTAGTTACTCAAAATTGTTCTTAAAATAATATTGTTGTGACTGGAAACAATGTTCTCTTGCTTCTGCTCATTTCACTCTTCATTATTTCATGCAAGTCTATCCATGTTTTTCTTTGACCATCATTTCTTATAGCACAGTAGTGTTCCATCATAATCATACACTACAATTTGTTTAGCCATTCCCCAATCGACGGGTATCCCTTCAATTTAAACTCTTTGCCACCCCAAAGAGAGCTGCTATAAATATTTTAGAACATATCGGGTCTTTTCCTTTTTCCCTAATCATCTTTGGAAACAGACGTAATAGTGATATTGCTGGGTCAAAGGGTATAAGTGGTTTAATAATTGTTTGGGCATAGTTTCAAATTGCTCTCCAAAATGGTTGGACCAGTTCACAGGTTTATCAACAGTGAAATAGTGTCCCAGTTGGTGTACTAGATCCTTCATTAACTTTCCAGTATTCCTACATGTTACTCCAATCCATACACCCTACGAGCCAGATAAAATGACTTATTTGCTCTTTACAGAAGATAAATTACCTCCCAATTTCATGCCTTTTTACCGACTGCTTCCATGGCTGTCATACTCTACTTTCACCCCTCCACCTCTGCTTCCCTGGATTTCCTCAAGAACAAGGTCAAATCACCATTTTTGCAGGAAGCTATCCTGTTTTCTAGTTCTCTTTGCTCCCCTTCCTCAAATTCCAACCGTCTAAGATTACCTTCCATTTACTCTGTATACATCTTGTATATACGTAGTTGTTTCTATGTAGTCTCTCCCTAATCTTTCTGAGCCTCAGTTTTCTCATTTGCAAACTGGGACCAATAATACTTAACAGGATTGTTGCAGCAAAAGCATTTTGTAAATCTTAAAGTGCTAGCAAAATGAGAGTTATTAAGATGTCTGTTAGTTAATGCAATTAGGCATGAAGTATTCTGTTTAGTTAAATGTTCTAGTTACTTTAATGGTCCCTATTTAATAATACATATACTAATTTTCAAAGATTTATAATACAAAAATACACTTGATACTAAACTGTATGAGCGTAATTTAGTCTTTGATGATTCAGTATGTTGTAGCCTCCAAGGTCTTCATTCTAGATTTCAGATGTTGTGCTACAAATGTGTATGGAAATGCTGGTTAATGAAATTGTGGTAGCTAGAATGCCAGAGAGATTTTATATATGTTATATTAAACCATAGTACTTGAATATGATAAATCATGTGCTTGTACCTCTATGATCTACAATTGGCCAGCCACTAATAGACCATATTGCACATAGGAACTTAATTCTTTGTTGAACTGAATTACATCCCTGGTACTGCTTCTTCTCTCTTGACTTCATTGTTTTCATTCTCTTTGCCACCAAGTTCCCTCTCTCTTACTCCTAACCAGCTTTATGAGGCACTTGCATATTGTGCAAGGGGAATATTGTAGCTCATGGAGTCAACTGTGTCCATATTCCTTCATACATGTGTGCCCATTCCTGTACTATAGTGGTACTTTCAGTCTGGAATAAATGAATGTCTCAGAAAGAAGCAATTCACCTGAATGTTTGCAACAGCAGTTTTTAACTTAGTGTTCTCTTGTTTGTGTCTCTCCACACAGGTCTTGCAGCTGGGTTCAGACATTCTTCCCCAGTACAAGCAAGAGGCACCAAAGACTCCCCCTCACATCATCTTACATTATTGTGTTTTCAAGACCACCTGGGATTGGATCATCTTGATCTTAACTTTCTACACTGCCATTTTGGTCCCTTACAATGTCTCTTTTAAAACAAGGCAGAACAATGTGGCCTGGCTGGTTGTGGACAGCATTGTGGATGTCATCTTCCTGGTGGACATTGTGCTTAATTTTCATACTACCTTTGTTGGACCAGCTGGGGAGGTGATCTCTGACCCCAAACTCATCCGAATGAATTACCTGAAGACCTGGTTTGTGATTGACTTGCTGTCCTGTTTGCCATATGATGTCATCAATGCATTTGAGAACGTGGATGAGGTTAGTGTTTGATCCTAAGCTCAGACAATTGTCTTGTCCAGCAGGGCTGATGAAAACTAAGTGATGAGGTAGATTGCTCTTTGTGGTTTGGTGGGCAGGACAAGAGGGAGGAGGGGCAGGTGTAGTCCACAAAGCAAAAGAATTGTTGGGTTCTTAAAGCTGCCTTTGGCACTGGTAGACAACAGGGGTGTAATTAAATGGATGGGAACCAGAACAATAGCTTCTTTAGACAGCTGCAGGTTGTAGCCTCTGCTTATTGTTTTCTGGTTTCTGAAACATAGTGGTTCTCAAGTTTTCTGTTTTTTGTTTTTTGCTCATGGAACACTTCTCTTTGCTACAAAGAACCACAGCACACTGGATGATTAAGTAGCATCAAAAGAGAGTTGGGAGATACATACATGTGTTATTTCCTTTCAGTGAGAGCAGGCAATTTTTTTTCTTTTAGTTTTTTATAGGCTCAAGGTATGATGGGTTTTGAGGTTACTGTTTGTAATATGCAAGTTTTATTTATTTTGAGAATACTATAATTTGCATATAAGTATACTTATATATAAGTATATTGAGTAAGTAAAAATTCATTAAGCCAAATTATTTATAAATTTTCTTTTGCCTGCAATAATGTAACATCCAGAATTTTATAGCACACCTAGAGAAACTCACTGCATGCTAGTGTGCTGCTACAAACACCTTTGAGAACCATCTCTATAACAGAATCCTAGTATATCAGCCCTGTTTGGTACCTAGAGATCGTCTGAATCATGGGGATCTCAACTTGAGGTCCATTAACTTGTTTTCTTATTATTTTGAGAACTGTTTATAATATAATAAACAGTTTTATTATATTTATAATATATATATAGAATATAGCATATTCTATATATAATAATAATGTTTATAATAAACAATATAATTGTTTTTCATTATAACTCTATGCATTGTGCATTTAAAAACATTCTGAAAAGGAGTTCATAGGCTACAGTCTGGTACAAAGGAGTCCATGACACAGACAGAAGACTGACAACTGCTGATCTAACCCAACTTCCTCATTCTATAGCTGGAGAATCTGTTATGATAAATGAGGCCAGATGCTCCAACAAGTTCTAGGTTTCTGGCTGACCTAGATTTATTTTGTCAAGATGACTAGCTAGCCCTAGTTTTGTCTCAATTATTACCTAGCCCTTAATCATTGAATGGGTGTTGCCTCTGACAAATTGAAGACTGGAAAAAATCATTAATTTAGAAAGGCCAAGGTCATCCACTGCCAGTCATCTTGACTTATGTCTTCCCACTGCACTTTGATGGCACTGGAGGTAATGTCTTTGTGCAACCCTGCCTTACTTAAAGCCAATACTTAAAGCAAAGCAGTGGTATGAGAGTCATTTCACTTCACTAAGTGCAAGACATGATGTTGGGGTGTGGTTGGGGATACAAAGATATACACACACACACACACACACCCCTGCCTTTAAGGAGCTGGTATTCTACTGGGGGGAGGGTACAACATGCACACATATCACTAAATAAAGCTGAAAAGGTATTAGAAACCAAATCATGCAGGGCCTTGAATACCCAGTGCAGTAGGATGGACTTTCTTCCTTATACAGCCTTTTTTTTCTTTTACCATTTTCAAGTATGGTAAGAAGTTTTTGGGTGAAGTAAGTTGGGCTTCTTTTTCAAAGAAGTGTTAGGAATGACCTATAATTTCAATTCTTAGGTCCTCACTTTCTCACATTTGGTGCAGAAAGCCAAGAGCCTGACAGCTGATGCAATCCTTCAGTACAGAAGGGCTGGACTTGTCAGTCCTTAAGGCAATATGGGTAGTAACGCAAAGAGGTACCATGTAAAGGTGTTGAATCAAAACATGTCCAAACAGTGTAATTGCTTGTATGGGGACAATGGACATGCTAAGGCAGAGAGCAGTTGTCGGTTTTGTTTCAATCATGTTCATCTCTCTTCCTGTTTGGGAAAGCATGAGGGTTAGATCAGAAAGGACTCAAAAAAAAAATCTATCATCCTATCTATAAGTAGCTCCCAAGATAGGTTTCAGTGTTTTCATCTGTCCTCCTGATTGGTGTCTAAACTAGTTATAATTAAGACAAGGAAGATGATCTGATAAGTCACAGATTTTATTTGCCAACCTAGCTCACATTGCCAAGATTAATTTTTTGGGGTCCCAACTAGTATAAGGGAACTCTGTTTACCAATGCAGTTTGGCATCTGTTTTGCAACTTATAACCCTAGCAAGTTGCCTGAGAGCACTGAGAGTGGCCCTATGTCAGTCACACAGCCGGGATGTATAGTAGGAACCTGGATCTGCCTGATTCTTTTTTGTAAATAATATTTTATTTTTTCCAATCACATGTAAATATAGTTTTCAATGTTCTTTTTTATAAGACTTTGCATCCCAAATTTTTCTCCCTCCCTCCCTTCTCCCCCCCACCCAAGACAGCAAACAATCTGATATAGGTTATATCTTCTTCCTGACTCTTAAGGCCAGTTATATAACTCCAATATCAAGAGTCCATTAGTATCTCCTGGCTCCATTGTCCTTCTTGCTTCAATGCCTCCTTGCTCCATTGATTGGTGGGCTGTAAGAGAGCAAGTCATGGGGAAGATGGATAATCCATAATGGGGAGGAGCTAGGTATTTTTTTCTATTCATGGAGACCAAATCTTAGAGACTTTGAAGGTACATAGGAATCAGGTTGCTATAGTAGGAGGACTGGACTTGGAACCAAAAGACTTGGAGTTTGAGTTCCAGCTCTATGGACCTCAGTTTCCTCCTTTGTAAAATAAGGATAACTTGTATGACCTACTTCTCAGGGAGATTGTGAGTACTTTGTCAACCTTAAAGCATTAAGTTATGAGAAGTTATTATTAATAACATCTTGCCCTCAGTCAAGGAAACAGAACTTGAATTTTAGTTTCTTACCCCTTTCTGCTCTCCTCTCTATTCTCTTTCCAAAGTTTTTCCCATCTGGCATAGATTTTCCTAAAGGGACTGTCAACCTCAGGGGGACAGCAGTGCTTTGATCAGTGCTTGGAGTGAGGCAGAATGTTGTCCCACTTTTCCCAGAAGGCCTAAAACCATCCCACTAACCTTTTCCTCTTACTTCAAGCATTGCTCCTAATGAAGAATAGCTCATCATCTGGCAAAGTTCTTCTAAATCTGAGAGTTGCCCATGAAATTATCATTGTGTGACATATTTTAATTAGAATTTTAAATGTGTACAAAGCCCATGTGGGTTCTTGGACCAGCCTTCAACTGAAGGCTGGATAACTGTTCACTGGTTATGTTGTAATGGGAATTATCTTCCAGCTATGGTTTGGGCTAGGTCCTTGAAGTCCCTCCCCTATCCACTTACACACACACACACACACACACACACACACACACACACACATACACAGAAGAGAAGAGGGAGGGAGGAAGAGAGAGAGACAGAATGAGAGAGAGAGACAGAGAGGCAGAGAGAGACAGAGACAGAGAGAGACAGAGACAGAGAGAGAGACAGAGAGAGAGAGACAGAGAGAGAGAGAGAGAGAGAGAGGTGGGGTGGGAGGCTACTGGGAGCCAAGATGGTAGAGTAAGAACTAAGTCACTCTCACTCTCCCTTATTAACATTTGAAAACCCAGAAAAATATCACCCCAAGAAAAACCCTGGAACAGCTGAGCCAGCAGAAAGACAGGGTGCAGCAGGTGTGTAGCTCAGGAAGCTTGGAGGATTAATGAGAAAGGTCCCTCTTGCTTTGGGGGTGGGGGAGCAGTACAGGATGGGAGGCATCCCAGCAAGCAAACAGCAAGCCCCATCTCAGCATACCAGGGGAGATCCTGAGCCCCAGAGTAGTGGAACAGGCAAGCCCCGACACCAGGACCACTGAATACCTAAGTACTGTCAGGGGAACCAGTAGACACCAGCTCAGAAAACTACCAGATTCAACAGCCTTCTCCAGGAGCCAAATCCTCTGGTGCCTCAGCACCCTTTCAGGAAACACAACCACAGGAGACAAAACTCCAGGCTGACAGACATCCTGTAGCAGCAAAACATCCCTGTGCAAGGCCCAGGTAAGCAGGAGCCAAAGAAAGGAGTGGAAGACCCAGGTCAGCAGGTTTTCCCCGGGGCCAGAATCCCCATCCCCATCCCAAGATGCATCCAGCGTTGATGACTCCAGCCCAGCACCAGGTAAGCTGCCAGAACCCTACAGCCTCCAACTGCCAGCATCTGAGTCCCCAACACACAAAGCCAGTGACCAGGTCCAGCTCTGCCAGCACAAGAAGCTTGGGTCAGTGCTCCCTGCACTTTCGCAGGAGAGTTCAACTTTTTTTAAAAGTCAGGAAACAGGCAAACACCACGAGCAAAAAGCAGAAATGGACAGTGACCAAAGATTCTTATTATGCGGACAGGGAAGATCAAGGCACAAACTCAGAAGAGGACAACATTACCAACATACCCACATTTGAAACCTCAAAGGGTTATATGAACTGGTCTCCAGCCCAAAAAGTCTTTTTGGAAGAGCTCAAGAAGGATTTTAAAAGTCAAATGAGAGAGGAAGAAGAAAAATTGGGAAAAGAGAGAGAGATAGAGAGACACATAGGGAGAGACAGAATGACAGAGGCAGAGGCAGATTTGGCTATTCTGGCATTTGGACTGTAACCCTGGAATCTTGGGCTCTGACAAGGGAACCTTTGGCTTATTTAAAGTCAGGCGTCTGTGCTACTTTTCAACCACTTCCAAACTATGCCATGGTGCAAGTAACTCCCCCCATCCCTATCATTTCCCTTTTATATTATCTTTTCTTTTTGGAATGTGTCTGTGAAGAGATTATCTTGCTCACTTATATTTGTATCCCCAGCCCTGAGAACAGTGCCTAACATATAATAAGCCCTTGATAAATATTGTTTTTATTCATTCATTCTAAAGACTGGATATTTATTGTGAAGGGCACAAATGATTTAAACTTGACCCTGAATCTTTTGATGCTGGCAATGAGTGATCTCAA